CTAGAAGCTGAAGTTCAACATTAGCTCCTACCACAGATTAACTCAAAATTCAAGAGCTGATTTTGCTATCAAAATGGACGACTTTTGTGCCGGTTGCAGAAAAATGATATTTTTTTACAGTTCTATCTTGCTGCATACATACATAGGTACTTAATGATTCACTGGAATTCATCACATAAAAATTGTTTTTCTGAGGTAAGAAAAAGAAGGATATAATAATACTTAAAGAACAGGATATTTCATTTATAAAGTGGAATTGTGCTTTATCACGATTCTAGGTATCACATTGTGAAACTTCTGAGGGGCCATGTGATGAAAGACGAAGAAGAAGACGAAGCATCAAATTTCCCCTATTGGTTGACTTTCACTACAGTAGTCATTGGAAAAACATCACACGTGATGTTATTCTTCTTTTCCTAAGCTCTTTGTTCGAAAGAATTCTATATTGTCTTGGTAGTACTGGAATATGATTTCCCTAACTCCGGCATCATCCTCTGTACCTTATTGCTATTCTGGAAGGCAAAATACTGTATGTGTGCCCATAAAATATATGATTGGCTAGGGTGTGGAATGAATTCATTCGCCGGCAATCGGTATATTGGTTTTGAATGCTTCCGATGGAATAACAAATTATCTACTTAAAAGAGTCTAAGATGAAATGAAGTGAGTCGTTAGTCTTCAGGAAGAATGTATCGTGAAGCACTCGGTATATACCTACACGCATTATTCACAGATTTTCACCAGTTACAATTTAGAACGCGTATATTCTATTGTTCTGTAATTTATTCTATAGCTTACTCCGAGTTGCAATTATTTGTTTTTTTAACCTTATAAGCACAATAACATTCAAATTTGGGAGGGGTTAAGGAAATTGTTTTACATTTATTCGAACTTTTACAGCCAGATTCTGTGCTACTTTTCTGATAGCCCACCCAGAAAGACAACTATTACTTGTGACGTAATCACCTATTTTATTTATATGCTATTTATATATATCAAGGTAGCAAACGTATCCATTGTCATCCCTCCGGCTAGAAGCAACAATAGTCCTGTTCGTTTGTGCTTGATCTACCTGCTGAACTTGATTTTTTTATATGAATTTCTCTGTTTACATCATGCCCTGAACAGAGACAACTATGGAAAAATAATCAACTTTAGCAAGTTCAGCAATACAAACGAAAAGGCCTATTGTTTCTTGTTACTTCAGTAGACATGTCACCTTCTTTTTTAGCTCGCCTTTAATACGCATTTACAGCTACTTCATCTTCATTTTTTCATCGATAGACACTTTATATACACACTTTGATATTAGAGGAATTCAACCTAACGCATATAAAACAATCAGAATATTCTCGAATATGGCCAAGCGGCTCTGAAAGCAATAATTATTTTATAAAAAGTGAAAGTTTCTCAGCGCATGCTCCCAACACAGTTCACACATCACAAAATACAGTTACATAGGTACTTATAGGATTCGAGTATTCGAAAAACAGGAACAAATAGTAAAAATAAACAATAGAAATACAAAAAAAAATACAAAAAATGAACTTAAGAAACATAGAGGTATATAAAAAATTCAATTTGATCTGAATCAGATAAAGTATTGTCCATTTTTGGATTTGAAACAGATCTTGCCGAGATATCATGAATTTTTCCAGTGTATTTGATCAACTAAAGAATTATAATGGTTGATTATAATGATGAATCAGCGCCGACAAATTTTTCAGTAGATTATGAAATGTTTCAGTAGATCAGTCGATCTAGGTGCAAATCAAGAGATATACTGAAAATTCAGTTGAACTGGCAACCCTGCAGCGGACAAAAAGTGTTTGCGGACAAAAAGTTAGTGTCTGCGGACGAAAAGTACTTGCCTTCGGAAATAGTCGGTTTAACCTCCCAAAGGCACCATGACCTAAACTACATATTTGCCTATCGTTCTTACCTGTGTTGGGAGCATGCGCTAAGAAAACTTCCAGCTTTTATGAATTAAGGAAGGTCTGGCGTTCATGGGATCTTGCTTTATACCGATAAACGTCTGAATTAGTATTCAACTGCAAATAAAAACTCTCCACAATGCAAAGACTCAAAACATTGTCTCTGGCCTGCATTTCTGAGCACCCTGGTTTTGCATATTCCCTTGCAAGGAAGGGCGCCGCAAGCGAACCAGAATCTGCCATTAGTATCCCAACATATTATGCCAAACATACACTGAACCCTTGAAAAGCAAGAAGAGTTGTAGGCTTCTAGCAGAATCTACCAGGATAAGCTCAATCCAAGGTATCCAGATATCTATCGAAGAATGCCAATCGAAGTAGACTTCATTGACGAACTGGATATACTTTGTGAAATATGGATTGACGTGAGCCACAATGGAGATCTCCAAAGCGAACTACCTGAATCTAACCAAAAAAGTTATTCAGCTGGGTAGTTGACAACACCGCAGAACAATATAACTGCAAAGACTAAATTTTCAGGAGACCCTATAAACTAAAATATTTTTTCTGCAACCGACACAAAAGTCGTCCATTTTGATACCAAAATTAGCTCTTAAATTGACGTTCCTATTACTGACACAAAAATAGGTAGGTTGCTAGGCAACATATTTAGTTCCTAGGAGCTAAAGTTGAATTTTAGTTCCTAGGAGCTAAAGTTGAACTTTAGCTCCTAGGAACTAAAAATGAAGTACTGGACGTCATCAAGAATGAACAACATTGTGACGATTGGTTATTTGGGTTGAGACGCATACCTGATTTGTTTCCGATTTCATCAGATTTGGAATTTCATACCCATGCTGGAGATATAAATATATACACCTTATTATAGTTTAGTATTGGAATTATAAACATCTCAGCTAAGTATTTTTGTTTGATCAGGGAAGCCTTCAAGATTCAAATACTTGCTTGATCTGTATTACATTCGTTATTCTCGGGATGGATAACTTGTTTTTGAATAATCACGGCAAGCAATAGTTTTTTGTCTCAAACAACGATATATTTTACCTTCATTTGATTATTGAGCGAGAAACATTGTATTATATGGAGAGGAGTAACTAACATTTTCCACGTCTTGTTCCCATAGCTGGCACTGGCGCGGTATTTGTCTTTAGAGCACCTGGTCCATAGGTACACAAATATGTCACTCTGTGAATGTATTTATATTGAAACTACAATTCGAACATCCTTGAAAATTGAATGAACCTGCTGTTGATGCAGGTAGAATGTTCTAACTACACGGATTATTTGTCAATATTTGTTGCATTGCATATATATGGCACGGCATTGGTGGTAACTTCACATATTTACTTGAGTTAATTGTTTCGGTTGCAGAAAAAATAGCATGTTTCATTCGGATCAAAAGTGACTTTGTTCGACTCGCAAATTTTGCTTTCGCTCGGCTTCGCTAAACGCTCCGCCTCGCAAATGCAAAATTTCTTGTCAAACAAAGTGTCACTTTTGATCCTAATAAAACAATCTACTATTGGGTCAACTGATAAGATTCTATAGTAAAATGTCACTAGTCACTTGATTAATATTATTATCCTTACGATTCTACATTAATTATTGACAGAATGATATTGTTTGTGTTGTCAGAGTAGATTTTTTACACGTGCTCCTGTGCGAAAACTAGGAAAAATTATTCAGAATAACTGAATAGCAAAATACTTGATAAATTCTCATTCTCCTGTGTTGAAACAGCAATTGAAGTTAAGAATAAATTGTTTCAAATATTCGTTCTATCAAAATATAAACCACCAACTAGCAGAGATTTGGTTGCTGAACTCAACCACAAAACAATATATTAGAGGCGTGAATTACATGGCTTACTATTATAGATACTTGTTTTTGATGATGCATTTATCTTGCTTTTCAGATGAGGGGTTTTGTATTCATTCTCATTTTCTAATTTTTGTCAGTTACTTGGATTTGCGATTTCATCGACGTAGATTATTCTATAATTTTGAAGAAATCTCCAACAACTCATTGTTCTTGTTTATTTCCGTATATAGAATGTGTCATCATAAGAATATGAAATGTCCACTGATGAGAAAAATGGACGAGTAGTTCAAGATAGAAGTAGGAGAAATATCAACCTTTTTCGTGAAATATTTGGTAAAAGTGCACTTATCATGCGATGGGGTTTTTTTCGAAAATTTTTTTTGGTACTTACGTATTTTCGTCAGAAAAACACGAATTTCATAATGAAAATGTGAACAAACCATTATTTATTAAGATATTTTACTATAAAGTTACAAATTTCATCATCTTTTCCGCCTGTCTTCTGGATCACATTGAGAACAATTTGCCCTTCTTTTTCCATCATTGGACAATTTATATATATCACACAATGTTGGACACATTTTTTTCAGTTTCTAGTTGACTCATATAGTCAACTAGAAATATGATTTTCTTGTGATTTATCCATGTTTAGTGAAAAGAAGAAAGAATATCATTGGAAATAATGGCGTGTGTAATGTCATTTCTAAGCAATCTATTGACATTTGACATCTCGTATTTGGATTGCATATGGATTAAATGGCCGTCATCTGGTATGCTTGCTCACTAAATAGAAAAAACTCGCCATAAAAATCATATTTCCTGTTGAATTTTCTATCTTAAAATGTGTCAGTGAAGTACATCATGAGTATATAAAGTGTCCAATGACAAAATAATAAGAGCAAGTACCTGTAAATGCATCCAACACAAGGGGGAAAAGAAGGCAAAATTTCGAACTTTTTCTTGAAATATCTCGATAAATAGTGGTTTGTTCACATTTTCATTATGAAATTCGTGTTTTTCAGACGAAAATACGTAAGTATCAAAAAAAAATTCGAAAAAAACCCCATCGCATGATAAGTGCACTTTTACCAAATATTTGTCCATATTCTCAGTAGGGAATCCGTGTTCCAAAGATGAATATACATAAGAAAGAATTAAAAAAAAAACATACCATATGATAAGACGTGCAGAGTTACCAAAAGAACCACTTCAACAATGATATTGCAATAATGGTGAGACTAAATATTTTATTTGATTCTTCTTACAATCACATCATCATTTGACAAACATTCTGCAGCCGCTCGTTTCGTACATTCACTACGTTCTCGGTCAAAAGCCAATCCACTAGGACAGCTTAGTTTCACCCTTTCCAAACCACCCTTACCACCATTCTGATGACACACGTAGAAATCGCTACAGCTTTCTGGATTGGGGAAAGTTCCTGGCTTGGTGCAAGTGAAACTTTCTGGCGTCGTAGAATCCGAGGAACATGTTGGTGTGGGAGATGGGGTTGTGATGCAATCAGGGAGTGAGGTAGTGCACTCTGGTAACGTTGGAAGTGAGGTCAATTCCATTCTGTTCTGAAAGACGTTTTGCCCGTGGCTTTTGATGGTCACCATGATGTCGACTTTCCTTATTGGGTTCCTCACATTTTCCATGGAGTTTCTTTGACGTCTGTTTAGGTGCGCGGTTTTCGATACTTGGAGGATGATTGAAAAGCACAAAAGGATCTACGAGTACAAATTGAGGACATCAAAATCAGAAAGGATACCTAGGTGAGGGTACGGCAATTTCGTATGAGTCTTACTTGTGGAGCCTTCTTCCAAAAATTAATCATGCTCTTTTCACGTTCTTGAAATTATAGAGGATTATGACAGATTACATGTGGACAACTTTTTTGTCAGTTCCAGTGACACTCTCAAAGAAACGTCTTGGTTGTCACTTGATTTTTCATGGACGGAGTAATGAGTAGTACACGGGACAGCACTTTATTCAGACCATTCAAGTTCAAAAGTGGACTGCTCATCATTAGAGCCACTGGATGGTATTAGTTTGATGAGAGTTCAGACACAGCTGAACTTTTGTCCTTCGCTATTTTTTATAATACAATGGTTTGAGTGAATAAAAGAATAAGACATATATTCTGCTCTTTGTGTTTTCAATTTCCTTAGTAGCACCTGATTGTCAGATACAATTTTAGAGGTTACATTTTCTGTCAAATCAATCATAGCCGTAGATGGACAATGGAAATAGGGTATGAACACCCACTTCAATTTATTGTGATACACTCCTAGCAGAACAACTGATATAAAAATGAAAAGAATGCATGATACAACATTTTAATATTATAAAATATACACATATGGATAAACTTATAGGATGAAACTGTCGATTTCCTTCGGGTATGCAGTCAAAGAAAAACAAAGTGTACTCTTGTTTCTGTTCAAGCTTTCGAGTCTTTATTGGCTCTTCATCAGGAACTCTATAAAACAATTAAAATTGATATGGAACTTTAATCCTTGTTATCGATTATAAAACACTTACGGAAAATGAGGTTTTGTTGAAGCTGGCTTCCATTAAGTGGGGAATAATACATGTGTAAAAGAACATTCACAACATGAAAACATCAATATTTTTGAAAGTTGATAAAAATTATTACATTATATTTGATTTTAGTCGAGAAAACTTGCAAAGCATTTTTGCTGCGGTAAATATTACAACATGGCTGACAAACAGAAGCAGAACAGTAACATGGACACCTGTCTGAATGAATTATGTAATGATCAAAATTTCATCTGTCATGAGTCAATTGTCAAAATTCAAACATTCGGAAATGACGGTAATTCATTAAAGTGAATAAAAATAGAAGAAAAAGATGGACATTCCAATGATGGTATTGCCAACTGTTCGTTTTTACCGGGAAATTTAAAATTCATCAATGATTGTTATGTTATTGCGGTTAGCTGGTAAACTTAAAAGGTGCGAGTAAATTATGCTTAAATTGTCTATGTCAGTTCTAGTATTAATAGTGTTCGTTGATTTGAAAATATGTGTCATTTCTAAAAAGGTTCTTTTTTTCAAGTTTGATTCATGTTCTAATATTGTCACATTATCATAATCTGGTCTGTGATCATAGGTATTCACATGATGTGCTAAGGAAGAAGTTAATTTGGATAATCTAATGTCACTTTTGTGGGATATGATGCGGTCTTTGATTTTTCTTTTTGTTTGGCCTATATATTTCTTGTTACATTGTGAACATGGAATGCAATATACAACATTAGACTGTTCCATTAATTCATCTTTATCTTTTAATTTTGAAAATATGTTATTAAGAGTGATTTGATTTTTGAAGGCAATTTGAAGGTTTGGAATTTTTGATAATATACTTTTGAATTTGTTACTAAGAGAGTTAATATATGGGAGTGAAACATAAATTTTTAGATTGTTGTTGTGAGGAAGGGCGATGTCACCTACATTGTTATCAATGATGTTTGTTCTCTGAAAAAGTAATTTATGAATTAGGTTTCTTGGGTAACCACTATTGATGAATAATTGGGAAAGTTTTTTTAAGTTGTCATTCCGCAAAGTGTTGTGACTGGTCTTTTCTACTCTGTTCTTCATTCCTAAAACCAAGTTGATTTTTTGTTTTTTTTGATGGTAGGATTCATAATGGAGGAATCTTCCAGAGGCTCCTGGTTTTCCCGGTAAAAACGAACAGTTGGCAATACCATCATTGGAATGTCCATCTTTTTCTTCTATTTTTATTCACTTTAATGAATTACCGTCATTTCCGAATGTTTGAATTTTGACAATTGACTCATGACAGATGAAATTTTGATCATTACATAATTCATTCAGACAGGTGTCCATGTTACTGTTCTGCTTCTGTTTGTCAGCCATGTTGTAATATTTACCGCAGCAAAAATGCTTTGCAAGTTTTCTCGACTAAAATCAAATATAATGTAATAATTTTTATCAACATTCAAAAATATTGATGTTTTCATGTTGTGAATGTTCTTTTACACATGTATTATTCCCCACTTAATGGAAGCCAGCTTCAACAAAACCTCATTTTCCGTAAGTGTTTTATAATCGATAACAAGGATTAAAGTTCCATATCAATTTTAATTGTTTTATAGAGTTCCTGATGAAGAGCCAATAAAGACTCGAAAGCTTGAACAGAAACAAGAGTACACTTTGTTTTTCTTTGACTGCATACCCGAAGGAAATCGACAGTTTCATCCTTAACTTAGACAGTCGTCTAATCCTCTCCTCTACTCGATAAACTTATAGGTATAATTCCCTATTTTATGTGAAACTGTACTCCGGTGATAAGTTTGAAACAGGAAGATATTAATATTAAATCAAAGGTATAGGTATTCTCAATATACAGGAAGTAACATTAGAAGGTTCAAGTGAAGTATTCGTGAGATAATTTTGAGAAATAAAGTACTCATATCAACGATGGTAAATATTGAAATTAAAAGTGCAATTTGTGTTTGTTGCATGCTGTAATATAGCAGATGCCGCAACATCTTGAAGAACGTCGTTTCTTATTTGAATTTGATTGGTTAGTGTTTGGCACACTATTGAAATGCCTTGATCAGTTTGTAAATGAGTATCACTAGTGTAGTGAATAGACCAAAGTAAATTGGTCTGAAATGCTTATTTGTTGACTGCCGCTACTGTCAGTTTATAGCGACCGTTGCTATATATGGCTACGTTCTGGTGCCAACAGTTATCACCACATTTCTCCTGGTATTTCCTTCGGAATCGTGCGAAAAAGTAAAAATAATGCGAAAAAATAAAATCGTAATCGCAAAAAAACAACTTCCAAAACGAAAAACCATGCAAAAAAGTTACTTTACCACACACTGGTACGAAAATGAACATACACAATTCTGAAGATAATAATCAGGAATACCATCAGGGCCACAGACTGATTCATCTAGTAATGGCAGTATTTCGTCTAAAAAGTTCTCAACAGACAATATCATATCATATCAAACAACCCACCCTTAGCTTATGTCGGAATAGTGATGACTCAACCGGAAAAATTCCAAAAATGCTTAGAATTAGAACGTGAGGTCTGATCAAACTGACTAATGGGTTGCGTGCAAGAACTGTCAGATGACCGACGCTGGAGGCAAAACATTGAAACACAACGTCACTTTTCTTATTTGTTTACAAGTGATCGAAATATTTTTCCACAATTATGGCATATGAATCGTATTTTTCCGCTATTCATCAATTCGCTCATGCCATCACATTGTGCTGTTGTAAAATGCACAAAAACTGCAGCGGAAGATGAAGGAATCCGGATGGTACAATATGATTTAAAAGTAAGCGCCTACTATAGTCACTCACATAATATAGTTTTCATTTTTGAAATTTGGTTATTCCTCATCGGAATTCCTTCTGCAATAGGAGCTAATAGAAATATAACTGAAATCTCAAGAATAATGCAAGAAGATTGGATTCATGCGATCAATCGGGAGGACTGGTCTGACATGCTGACGATCGTGTGTGTTGTAGACATTTTCAATCTATTAGCAGTATAAGCTTGTATTGCAGAAGTGGCAGAAGGCAGAAGAAATTTCAATAAGGAATGAGGAATGACAACATTTCATAATGATAACTATGTGAGATTACTATTCACCTGAAAAATCATATTCCCTAGTCTCCATGCTGCATTTATTGTGCATTGTACAACAGCACAATGCGAAGGCATGCTTGAATTAATGAATAACGCAAGAAACACGATTCGTATGCCAAAATATTGTGAAAAACTATTTCAACCTTTTGATTCCTCTGTAAACAAATAAAAAAGTGAGGTTGTGTTTCAATAATTCACAGAAGAGTGAGGTTGTGTTTCAATATTTTGCCTCCAGGGTCGGTCATTGTGCACGCGACCTATATAATTATTGAAACATAACCTAGATAAGATTTTAAAAAGTAATCTTAGTTCATAATAATCTTTATGTTTGAATGTTCCTAGTAGTCATATTTATATTGTTCATGAGCAGTTTTCTTTCGTTTGATGTAATTTCTTAAATACGCATCAAATCATTTCAGAAAATTTGAAGTTTTGAATGAGAATATAATGGTTCTTTCAGTCCATCCAAGCAAAATAATAATCATTGAGTCGAACAAAATCAGCATTCTTTGAATTATAATAAGGATCATGGTATTTTAGAGGTTTATGTGATTTGCATACAAGCCCAGTCAGCACATCCTTTCGTTGTCAACCTCGAAAGATGTCGAACAGCACTTTATCAAGACTCCTTCATCCATAGAACGGCTAGGCTCTGGAATTCATTGCCTGTAGAAGTATTCCCAACAACATACCCAGTTATCACAAATTGATCTCAGAGACGTCAGTACACTTCACATTCATGATTGAGATCACACCCGCGATTCGATTTGTGAATCACGTCGACATCTCCAGATCCTCTATTCCGGACCCTTTTGGTCATTTTTCGCTTCACATTTAGATGCCGAATGGGACTCAAAAGTTAGCTGAATGTGACTCCAGATATCACGTTGAAATAAGACTCACATTGAGGTCACATTATAATCAGAATGTGAGGTTTAAAAGACCATCGACCATTTCTGAATGTGAGGTTCTTTTCGATTATTATACTGGTATCGTAGCGTCCCTGGAAGAATCATATTGTGCGTCTCAGAAATGCTACATACACATTGATTTTTGATGTCTCAAGTGAAATCACATCTAGATTGATGAAGGTATTCAATGAGAGAACTAATCGGTCTCGAATCTCTGTCAAATAGATCAATCAAGGGTTTCAGAAGGCAATCGATTTTATTGAAAATTAGTCTCATTACACATCAGAATCATATACGTATTAATAATCAATACGGATAATCTCTATCTGTTTCCATAGCGAAACATGAAGCCGATTTTTGAAGACAAATGACTATCCATAAG